GCACACCAGCTCTCAGAGCTCTGTTTTCAGGTGCTTTTTTCCATTAGACTGAAACACCAAGTCCCCTCGGCTTCGCCGCTTCCTTTGCGACCAGCTGCAGGCGAAGCTGAGCACGGAGGCTGGGCTGCTCCTCCTCCTCCCTCCCCTCAATCTCCACAAGCTGCGACACATTAAACAACTTCTTATGTTTAAAAGTAGGAAAATATGATTTTTATGGAAATTCTGCAGCAGTTTGGAGGCAGGCTGGCACCTTGCAGGCAAATTAACCATGCCTGTGCTCCAGCTAGCTCCAACTTGCAGGCGAAGCTGAGCACGGAGGCTGGGCTGCTCCTCCTCCTCCCTCCCCTCAATCTCCACAAGCTGCGACACATTAAACAACTTCTTATGTTTAAAAGTAGGAAAATATGATTTTTATGGAAATTCTGCAGCAGTTTGGAGGCAGGCTGGCACCTTGCAGGCAAATTAACCATGCCTGTGCTCCAGCTAGCTCCAACTCAGCGCCGTACCAAGGGAGGAGCCCTTCAGACAAACGCTGGCCCAAAAAACTCAAAAACTATTCCAAAGGACTAAAACCAGAGTTCTGAACGCCTAACAGACTCCTGAGCATCCCCAGGGCTCGGCTGTTTTCTCTGTTTCTGTCCACTTGGATTTCACTGTCATTTACCCAGCCCTTGGCCGGTTACTCTCAGTTTGGGCTGCAGATGGCAGCTGAACATCGAGGCATCACCTGGTCAAGCAACAGGCTCAGGGCTTCAGCTTCCAGGGCCTGGCCTGGTTTTACCAGGATTCGCCGGAGAAAGGCTCCAACACCCCAGTTCCTCACCAAACCTCTCCTCTGGACAGGAGCAGGACTTGGGTCTCAGCCCATCAGGAGCGGCTCAGCAGGCCGGTGACACCGAGGTTTTCCCGTTGCAGGTGAAGGCGCGGGAAGCGGAGGGACCCCGCGCTAAGCCAGAAGAAGGCAGGGGCTGGGCAGGCATGCCCTCAGTGATGGCCGAACACTGCCACGTCCTCAGGAGCTCAGCACCCACCCCAGCCTCGCCTTGAGGAGCCCCCGGTCGTGGGAAGAGGCCAGAACCAAACTCGGGTCAGATAAACGAAGGACAAACACCACGAGTTTGGGAAGAAAACACACACCAGTGTCACCCATCGTATTCAAAAAGACGCTTTGCTTTGCGTTCATCTCCGCCGCCTCCTGCTTCCCGAGACCCTCAGCGCGGAAGGACCTGGCCCTCCATCAGTGTCACCTCCAGCCCCACCGGCTCCGGCCTGCTCTCACCGCACGGAGCCCGGTCCAGGGGCAGCTCTGCAGGACCAGTCCCAGCACCAGACTGGCCGGAGCGAGTTCAAACCCACAGACCGCGCTCTGGCCAACCTGTTGTCTTCTCCAGCACTGCGGGGTGTATGCACGCGGCCCAAGGGTGAGCTCCAAGGCACCTCAGTCTGCAGCACCACGACGGCTCTCCAACGCGACGCAACTGCATGCGGCTTTGCTAGGCAGAAAGAACGCAGCCGAGAAGCGTCTGCAAGCTCTGCAACCGGGTTTGTCCGACGGCTTCAGCTTCTCAGCCTCAGCATCTCGATGTGTGCCCACCAGCGACTCGAGGAAGCAACTCCACGGTGCTGCCACACCGCCGGCACCCAACAAGCATCTCCCTGCGAGCACCACGCTGCAACGGCATTAAGGCTGTGAGCCAGGGGAGCAGGTGGAATGGGATCCTGGGATGCATCAAGAGGAGTGCGGCCAGGAGGGCGAGGGAGGTTCTCCTCCCCCTCTACTCTGCCCTGGGGAGGCCCCATCTGCAGTGCTGGGTCCAGTGCTGGGCTCCCCAGTTCAAGAAAGATGAGGAGCTACTGGAGAGAGTCCAGCAGAGGGCTACGAGGATAAGGAGGGGACTGGAGCATCTCTCCTACGAGGAGAGGCTGAGGGAGCTGGGCTTGTTCAGCCTGGAGAAGAGAAGGCTGAGAGGGGACCTTAGAAATGCCTCTAAATATCTGCAGGGTGGGGGTCAGGAGGACGGGGCCAGACTCTTTGCAGTGGTGCCCAGCGACAGGACAAGGGGCAACGGGCACAAACTGAAGCAGAGGAAGCTCCAGCTGAACCCGAGGAAGAACTTCTTCCCTCTGAGGGTGACGGAGCCCTGGCCCAGGCTGCCCAGGGAGGCTGTGGAGTCTCCTTCTCTGGAGATATTCCAGCCCCGCCTGGCCGCGGTGCTGTGCAGCCTGCTCTGGGTGACCCTGCTTGGGCAGGGGGTTGGGCTGGGTGACCCACAGAGGGCCCTGCCGACCCCCAACATTCTGTGATTCTGTGAGAGGGGCAGGGCCCTCTGCACGTCCCCAGTGCCACGACGGCCAACGTGGCTCCTGCGAGCCTGGAGCAGGGCGGCAGGTCCCCTGCTTCGCTGTCCCTCTGATCGCACGAGGGAGGTGTCAGGGTCCCGTCCCCCCACATCCCAAGCTGTGCTCCCGTCCTACAGCCCCCAGCCCAACATGGACCACCAGCTCGTCCCCACGTGAGCCACGGCCCCGCGGGCTGCGTGGACGGGCACGGGGAGCTGTGAGACCGGACCGCGGATATTCAGGGCACTTCGCAGCGCATTTTCACCTCGTTCCCTGGAAACAGCCCAGCTCCTCTGCCCACCCCGAAAAGGCCCCTCAGCAGCCACCCACGGCCACAGAGCCCACGGGCACACCCTGCCCCGGTCCCCTCCTCCCCAGCCTCAAGCTGAAGCCTCCTGCCAGTTAAAACTAACGCACGCCCCAAGCTGGCACGCTGGCTTCTTTTATTGCGCTGATGCGTTGCGCTAAGAGGATGAAACCACAAGGACAAGTAATGAGATTGCGGCCGTGACCTTCCCAGCCCGGCAAAGCTCATTATCCGCTCCGAGGGTCTCCTTCTGCACGCAGCCGGCACACAGCGGGCACAGAAATACCCAGGTTGGCACAGCTCGCTGGCACCGAGGACGGAAATTGTCGGCTGTCCCCAGCTCAGGGGGCTGAGCGCGTTAAAACGATGCGCTAGAAGATCACCTGTAATTATCCTGCTGCAGTTAAAGGTATCAAGGTAAATGAGGGGAACAGGAGGTAACTCCAGAGCTGCCAC